AGAAGTGCGAAACGTTTTGGGCCTTAAATAACAAGATTCGTTCGAGAAATTGGTTTTTTATCCTCTCCACAGCTGAAAACACCTATTGCGGTAATAAAGCGGCTCTTCGGCACAAGCACCGATTCATGCCTAGGCGTTATTCTAAGTCATAGTAGGTTTCAATTGTACAGAGAAGAAAACTAACATTTAAAGTTTCCAAGACTAAACCGTACATTCAACTATTTTTGTATATTTTTAACCCCAATGTTGAAAAGACGACCATCTCCAAAACCCTTCATCAAGAGAGAACCTAACAACGATGGTCTGGTATCAAGGTCACAAATCAAAGGTGTGACCAGCTGTCTTGTTTCGAATTTAACTCGTGTTTTCCAATAGATGATTGTTCTAATACGTTCTCTTAAAAATGGCTTTGAAAACGGCCTAGTAGAATATATATATACGTCACATTACAGGAATATAGATATTTCCCATCACCTGGATTAAATATTGCCTTTACATTAGGTACCGAGTTGATAACCGAAAAGGAGGTAGTTTCGTTAAACTAAACAACCAAATTGTGTTAGTGTTCAAACCACTTTATAATATACCAAATTTAATATTGGGATTTGGGAGTTTCAAACTAGATAACAGCTCCCTTGTCAGTCCTTTCTCGGTAGAAATACAATGATCAGTTAAATACGTAAGCGATTATACTCAAGCAAAAAACTTAAATTGATAAGATAAGTGGATACGCATAGTGGCTAATGCACATGTGGCATGGGTGGTCAAAGGTGTAAATCAGAGTTCCTTTGATGCTTTTCCCTATTATCGACACGATCTCATTTGTTCTTATTTTGGACTATAATTTTGATTTGAGGAGGAAAAAACCGGTACCTTTGACTAACGCCTTCCCAAGCTCATGGTTAACCCGTTGACTATTCCTGATTCTAATACACTGGTTTTTTTTTGTCTTGTTTTTCTAACTTTTAAATTTTTTTTTTGTTTCTTAATTCTAAAAGAAAGCGAACACATACGGCTAAGCAACAGCAATATGCAGACAACTTAACTTCAATTTCTTCGAGGTTTTCAATATGGGTTCAGGTTGCACCGGTACTTCCGTCGTACGTCGCTCTGACATTTGTCATCCGTCTTTCGAAGTGGTCCTCAGTACGACCAAAGCTCTACCTAGCAACCCGAAGTTATATTGGTAGTCTCTTTGGGAGAGCGCTTTAATGAGATCCAGAATCTGAACGAAAAAAAATATAATTTGTGGAAATGTGTGTCTACAATTATCTATGCCCAGACAGATGCATGTTGAGTTAATGGTTTTAAATTGAACAACCAAGTTCCATGCTCTATCCCCTGTGGGACCACTGCCGCGTAATCTCCCCACTCAGACTTACAAGCTTGACGCTTTGTTTGCGATCTTCCAGGAAAGCGATAATCCAGGACCATAGCTCACTCCATACTCCACTCCATACTTGAATTCCATAACCTGAACAAGATTTTAACTGAAAGAGTTTGACTACTGACACCCAATCTTGACCCAGGAAAGAAGTGTCCAAAACGTTTTGGCCAGAATTGAAGTAAACTTGAAGGGCCCGGGACAAAACTGTAAATCTGTTGGGTCCTTTCACTATGATATATAAAACGTGTGCTAACTTTTCTAAGCATTCCTTCCTTTATTTTGTTATACTGTCATGCAAATGAGTCATTCGTGGTTCCTTGGTCAGCGGCTGTGGTGGATTCTTTGGAGGAATAACCAACTTCGTAACATAACAACTGGAAACTTTCGTCTTCTTCAGAGTAACCTTGAATTATATTATCTAAGCGCTGAAAAAGGAACTTTTTCTGTTTTTGTAGCTTCTGAAACTGACATTTGATAACGTCTTCTGAGAAGCGTACTTTGCGATGCTGTTGACTGTGTGACGATCTTAGTTCTTTCTTTATTTTGTGTTCTTCGCTACTCGTAAACTTTTTCCAAATGTAATCACTGATCTTATCAAACAAGGATTTTCTCCTCATGTTGGCAGTAAGCTTCTTCTCTGTTGAATTTTCCACGCTTTCTTCTCTTGATGCTATAATTGCTTTGCTTGTTGCATCAAAATTGACCATCCTCTTTTTGTTGGGATTTTGGCCACAATTCCTATTCTCTGTTTTCGTCATCTTCGCTATTTCTTCATTTTCTTTCGTTAGTTTTATACTTTCACTTATAGCATCAAATATGCGTTTATTCTCTCCTTCCTTTTGACTCCAATTTTCATCCAGAAGGTCGTAGAGCTCATTTTTACTCTCCCAGGCCTTTGCATTCATAAGAGCATCGTTCATAATAGCAATAAAAAAATTCATGGCCAATATCGTCAGGGTAAAAAGAAGTAAGACGGCAAAAATTCTTCCAAAAGTGTCGTTGACATCTGCCAGTTCATTGATGGGTCTCGCTTTCACGCGCCCTAGAGTCAGTTCGAGTTGAAAATAACTGGCTCTGAGTATCGACGAGTAATGCCTCGAACCCGTCCCGAAGATCAAAACCCCGAAATGCAGAAAGGCAGTAAAGCAGATCAACATAACAACGGTAAATGATGACAACAGTCGCGCAGACGTCTTCAGTGTTTTTGAAAACACGACAACGTGTTGATTGAAGCGAATAAGTCTCAGAAGTTTGGCAGTGACAATAAATGTTAAAATCCCCAGAACAGCGTTCTCTATTTCAAGCCAAATGATGACTTCTTGAAAACTGAGGTTTGCGTAAATGTTTTTCTGAAGCTCCTGAATCGTAGAGGTCGTCTTTTTGGATCGCACGATGTATATTACTACAGCCGACAAGGAAAATATCACTTGGAAGATTTCTACCCAACCCCATAAGGATTTAAAATATCGAGAACGTTGTTTGTACAGCTTGTAGCACTCTCTTCCGACGTAAAACGCAACAAATATGATAAAGAATAAAACACAGATGAGGTAAAATTGTTGCGAACCAGCCCCAGTTGAGTCTAATGAAATCACTTCGGTTCTTGTGAACGGAGAACTGTATCCGGAAGCCTCTACCTCAGAGAAATACGTCGCGATGCAAAGTAAATTAACAGATGGATTGAAAGAGGAAAATTCTAATATAATGACTCTGGTTCGCCTGTCGAGCCAGTCATTGTTTTGTAGTGTTTCTATAACGGTAAAGCCTGTCGAGTTTTCATAACCTAAGTCGGCCACGAAACCTCCACCAGGATAAAATGAGAACTGTCCCCACTTAGGCACCGTGTCCGTATCTTCGGCACCTTGGTATCTCCAAGGCATCGGGCAAAGTCGGAAAAGTTCATCTTTATTCGTGGAGTTGTCGACAGGCTTCCACCCTGGCTTGTTGAAGGATGTCTTATCTTCGTTTAAGGGTGAGTACCCGCCGTAGCAAACAGGAAACGTATGTTTCATGTAATCCAAAACATCACAAGTCTCTGCGGATGTTAAGAAGAAAAGGAGCCTATCAGATAATTGTAGAAAATTTCGACAAGAATTGGAGTAAGGAACTGGACATACATTTGTTTTTCATTTTCTTCATATCTTACTTAAGTGCGTGGCCCGTCTCCGCTTAGATTTTTTCTACTATCAGAAAGCTCTTATTTTTCTTTACATATATTTTTGAACAAACATAAACAAGCGCGGTTGTTGTTTTTGTAAGTGGCTGCGTTTGCTGTGTTCTTGCCTAAGAGCAGTGTCAGATTCACAGTTAAGCTGCCATCAAGAACATAAAATGGTGATGCAAAAATAAATTAGGAAAAACGGCCTACGTCGCATTTCCGCTCCTTCTGCGCCTGCTTCTATACAACCAGTATTTACCATATGCGGAGAAAATGACCACTTATTCGCACTTTATGAGAGCATTTTGAAAAGAATGACATGACGCGAAATTTTCTTTTTTTACTCAAGTTTCAAAAAAATTTCCAGACTCACCAGGTTGAACTCTAAGTTGCCTTCCTCTAGCCGTTCCAACTAAGACTGAACGTTTATTTCCGATGTACATGGTTTGATTCTCGGGACGTCCGTTGTACCATCTACCAGCAAATACACCCGGTAAAAAAACATTTTTAACCCAGCTCCAGTACTGTTTCCTGTTAAAAACCTGGTATCGCAAAAACAACAAAGGGAAAATAATGAACAAAAAATGGTCGTGGTTCGTGTACTAGTTTGTTAAAAATGAGTTCAGTCTACTCTGCGAGAAAGAAAAACGGCAAATACAAATCAATCAATCAATGAAGTAGTGGGATATCAATTATTCTTTTTTTGGTTCACTCACACACTCTAAAGGCATCAACAAAGACAAAGCAACTACGCAAACAAAAGAATCTACTTTTCCTGTTTCTTATGCAAGGGCTGAAGCAGGGAAAATCGCCCCTTATTTCCCAGCGAGGAGGAGGAGGAGGAGGAGGTGGGGGGGGGGGGGGAGGGGTGGTGTATTAAACTGTGTTTGACGGAGCCGCCAGAGGTCCAAATCCTTCCCTTTTGCTTACCACTTACAGACTAAAACGCTACACTTTTTAATATCCCCACAGAAACGATTTGAGTAGGCTCCTACATATTGGGGGAATCAGCCATCATTCCAGTGGTAGTTCTGAAATTCTTCCCCTTTCATATATTTTTGGCTCTAAAATAGTAACCAGGGAGTAATTCCTCAGGCCCAACTAAAGGGATCTGGTGGACGATGATCCCGGTTTTCTGTGTAAATGAAAAGACTCTTTTCCCAGCAAACAATCATAGAGGAAAACATGAAAAAGAGAAAAGACTTCAGCACTTTTGTTGAGTAAATTTCACTTACCGTTTCAAATCTTGGCAGTCCTTCTGAGATGGATTTTGTCATCATGTATCGATGTTCATTTCTGCTACCATAACAAACCACCATCAACAAGAAAACAAAAATAAGGTAGATGAAAAGTTCCACAAAGAACCGAGATATATTTTGTTTTTTCGCCTGACGCCTTCTCATCTCCTCTACTTCTTTCAGCTTCATCTTCCATAAATGTCCTTTTGTTGAAGTTCGAGTTTTAGCCTCTTTTACGTATTCGTTACCATTTTTCTTTCCCTTTTTTCTGATAATCATGGCTGACAGTACTATTGCGGTAAAGAACAGTTTGAGTGGCTGAGTAATGGCCATATCTTGGGTGAAAGAGATAAACATGGAAGACAGCCATTGCTCACTGATTTCCTTTCCCCAGAGCAAGCTGTAGAAGATGGTAAACGTCGCTGAAACAGAACATGAACAAACGAATAAAAACCAGGCGAAGTAAAGGAGACACTTTGCTTTGCAGCTAACACGGGTCTGACTCTCGGTGTTTTCGGTCCCTTTTTGAAACAGGAATGCAATCAAAATGTTTATAGGGGCAACAATGAGCGCGCTTTCGATACCAATAACTACTTGTCTCCAAGTACATTTCAAAGGTCCGATCTGAATCACATTTTCAGATTTCCCGTCCAGTTCATAAAACATGGCGTTTGCAAGCATAGCTGTCAATAGCAGTGAAAGACAGCATGACGCCCGTTGTACCCGTGTGAAGCGATTTCTCCTTGGCTTCGCTACAACTGAGATCCATATGTGTTTTTCTGTGAGTCCTTTCCACCATCGCTTCAAAACCTCGCTGTTGAAGTCTGTTCTATTTTGTTCTGTCTCCAACATCCGTTCAATCCTACCATCTCCTCTTTCAAGAGCTAGCCACTGAGTATTCGTGAATGTCCAAGAGCAAAGCGTTTGTTTGTCAAGAACAATGATTTCCTCTAGAAACCACGAAGGACTATTTCCAGAGTTGTCATGCCCAAATCTCACCCCTTTAATATAACCGAGTGGTTTTTCAACTTTAAGAACAAAAACGTCCGTATTCCCTCTAGAAAAAAGTGTGTCCGTCGGGGCATCCTCCATGTTGTTGAGCGGAACCTTCCCGGTGCTTTCTTCGGAGCCATATATCTCTATAGCAACTTTAGCTGTTGTTCCGGAGTTCCTCCAGACTCCTGTTATTATTGTTATTTCATATTCGTGCAAACTGTTTGATCCTGTTGGCAGCTCAATTGGAGAACCATTCTGGAGCAAAAAAGAAAAGGAAAGTGTTGTGTTTTTTTGTTCTCTCGATTGTTAAACCTTCATGGTCACGTACGTGTCAAGCGTTTTCACTCTCGTGAGAAGCATCTATACAAATTATTGTAACAAAAGAAAGTGTTTATTGACACAATCCAATAGGATTGGTTTGGAACACCAACATGGCCACCGTTATATTGTTCTGGAACACCAATATGGCCACCGTGACGTTATATGAGAACGCTGTATAATTTATTTTTTGTTTTTGTATTGGTTTGTTTTCATTATGAATGTCTGCAAGGCCAGAAACAAGAAATTGGTTTCCGTTAAAAGCATCCTCAGAGATCTGAATGGGTACCTGCTGTTGATTAGATTCCGTTGTGCCAAATGAGAGGCCGAAGCCTAAATCAAAGGTTCCGCGCTACCACCACCATCACCCCCGTTTTCAGTACGCATAAATTTACATTATAGATGATTATAGAGCATGGTGTTTCGATAATCGCACATTCATATATTATCATAGAACTAAAACTTCACTGAAAAAAAAATAAGAGAACTGGAAAAATTAGTTTTGTATAATACTATACTTCCAGTTCATTTTACAGGTTTCAATCGTCTTCATGGTGATAAAAAGATACCTCTCTTTTTGATTTGATGAGCTGTAGGAGAACGAGTGCTCTATTCTCTAGTTAATTGAGCAGTCCGATGAGTCTTGCCTTTGGTTTAATATTTTTCATTGCTCGGTCTGGTTTACACTAAGATCCAGCTTCACACCGCTGCAATGTTTTTCCAAGTGGTTGTTGCGCTATTTAAGTTACCTAGTAAGTACTTACATTTCTGGTGTCTTGCTGATCCACTTTTCTGACAAAAACAATCACAAAAACGTAGCACAGGAATACCACTGCAACGGTTACAATAACCGCGACATTTCCTGTATCTGCAAGTCTCTTGAACTGTACCAGCACTTGATCAAAGTCGATGGGATTGGGTCTTACAAAGAAACTACCTCCGAAGGAGGTCAGGTGATTACATGAACAGTTCAGAAATCCATTTAACGTTGCTGACAAAACCTATGGAATAAAGAATGAAAAATTTAAATCCAAGTTTCCATGTTAGGTCAATAGATCAATTTCGAAATATCTTCAAATTCATACTTGGCTTGGAGGACTGGAGAATCTGGACAACAAACAAAATTCATCCATGAACCTCAAGGCGATGTCTCTTGAATTATTCTTTCAAGCCTCGGGAGAGTTAGAATTTTTTTAATATATCAAAATTGGCTCATTGATGAACTTTTAATTTATGGGTTGTGCAATTTAAGGGCATGTTATAATTTTCCATCTGATCAAAATAAATATCAAAATAACTACATTATACAACTGCAGAAGACCACAAACGATACATAGGGAGCCAAAAGATGGCATGGATGAAAGTGGAGACGGCAAAAGCGGCATGTATTGCTCCTTACTGCTTACTGCGAGGCTTAACAATTTACACTTAGCAACCAACCCTAGGTCCAACACCAATCAAAAAAATAGCTCAGTCATCAGTTATTACTTACTTGACAGCCTTTTGTCATCCACTTTTCCTGCTCTTCTGACCAGAACACACAGCTCCCCAAGGCCACCCTCATAGTATAGTTCCTTGAGATAGTTGGGTCATACATGGGTACTAAAGATATATTTTTGCCCTGAGGGGGAGTGGGAGGGGGATCTTTCACTTGCACACATGATCGCTTCTGACGTCCATTTCTGAAACATGATCTCTTTTGTCTCTTCAGGGAGGTTACACTGGTGTCATAACTTTGAATCCCCAGAAAGTATCTTCCAGGTTGCCTGACAATTGTTTCTATTGGAACGGTTGCAAATCTGTTGGAAAAACACTTTGCTCTTCCAAAGCTTTTTACCTGCGCATTCCACCAAATGCAAGTTTCCTGTTTGGAGATAGTGGCATTGAGATCATACACTTGTGTTGTTGGCCGTTGACTATGTCGCATGTAAACAAAAAGGGTCACACTTTCATCAGTGGGAGCGATCTCCACCATTATCAACGTGTTTTCGTACTTAACATCTATTTGGTGAAATCGTAAATTATCATTCTGGGTGAAGTACTGCGGGATTTGTAAAGAGATCTGTTGAGGTTTCAGTGGTGTAACAATCAGGACGTCGTTTGGGAGTTCTGATACTTTGATCGGTTTACGCTCGTCGTCTTTCAAGTCCAGTGCTAAGATATCAGAGTCCACTAGTTCTCTTGTGACATCCCATGTGTAAGGATTGAATGGAATTGAGAGCATCTGAAAAAGCAAAACAAACAAACAAAAACGTGATCAACATGGCGCACGAGACACGTCACTGGCATAACCTTGGCTTCGATAAGTATGTTTTCAGCAAATTTCATTACACTCCATTGCACATTACGATACTCTGAATCTTAGCGATATCTGAAAGAAATACATTTAACAATTATTCGCCGAAGGCAAAGTTCATATTGTTGATTAACCCCCTAGACAAAGTCGAGGGGATTATTAGTCTCGCGCTTAGAATTGTTGTAAACTTTCATTGTATGCAAATGAGTCTTGTGATGAGCATGCGGTTTATTCTCGGCGATGATTAAAATGACACGCCATGTTCTCATCACGTTTTTTAATCTTCGGGAATGATGAAATTTCTCTCGAATCGAAACCCTTGAATTTTCGTGTAACTATACACATACATACATACATACATACATACATATATACATACATACATACATACATACATACATACATACATACATATATACATACATACATACATACATACATACATACATACATACATACATACATACATACATACATATATACATACATACATACATACTTTATTGTTACCTCCCCAAAGAGGCTTTTCAGGAACGCGTATAGCCTGCGACCGTAGACGTAATTCTGGTCGTCGGTAACACGCGTACTAAATCAATTCAGAACATTCTGTCGAATACGATATAAAAAGTAATCCTGAAATACTCGACCGTCGACAAGATAAAGTAGGAAGTGAAAAACCTTTAGCGAGCAAATCCAGTTTCGTGAAAAAGGAATCACCTCCTCATTTCTTATCTAGTCTCTAAGCAAGGGAGACTAAACGCCGATTTTTAAGAGCCGTCTTGTTCAACTATATGAACTGAACCTGAGGTGAACAATTGTTTTAGTGTATACATACGAAGCGATCTCTTCACAATCAGAAAGGTAACCATTTAAAAACGATTGGTTTGATTGACGGGTGAATTCATGCGTGAACATACAGCCGTAAACAGAAGATGCGTGACAGTTAGGTCTTTATGCTTACAGTATCTTCAAACATGGCATATCACAGTTACGTTACTAATCTTTTTGTAAGCTTTAGCATCAATAGTTTGAAAGAAAACGTTGAAAGTTTTAATTACTACCCCTTTTAAGTAGAAGCGTAGAGCTATATTTGTTTCTGTCAGCGTTGTTTATATGCAGTGTTCTTTACATTGTTAACTTGCTGGCATATATAATTTCCGAAAATATTTGCCTTCCCTTTTTTCTAAAAACTAACTTCTACTTATAAGGCAAAGTTGCTTTTGCAAGGAAATCCCGAGTTCACAAGACAGTGACAAAGCGCCTTCGTTTTCCTCTGTAATGGTAAAATCTGATGATCAGTCGCTAAATCTGATAATCAGTCGCTTTTCACCAACTACCGACCTATCTCGGTACTTTCCAGCTTTTCAAAATTCTTTGAAAGAGTTATCTACGATCGTTTAATGCAATACCTGATCAATTTCAACATCCTCTGTAGTAAACCAATACGGCTTCAGGAAAAAAAATCATTCCACTGCACTCGCGCAAGAGAGAATGAGCTAGATCATTCTCTCTTGACTCGCGCTAATCGACTTACATGACAAGATCTCCACGGCCTTTGACAGAGGTGAATTTTCTGTTGGTATTTTTCTTGATCTCTCAAAAGCCTTCGACACTGTAAATCATGTCATCCTTTTTGATAAACTCGAACATTACGGTATTCGTAGCTTAGCGCTGGACTGGATAAGAAGTTACTTTTCATACAGAAAGCAATACGTTGAATATAATGGCCACTGTTCGTTAAGAAATGAAATCTCTTGTGGGGTCCCTCAGGGTTCTATCCTCGAACATCTATTTTTCTTACTGTACATTAGCGACATCAACAATGCTTCTAATCTATTAAATCTGATATTGTTCGCTGACGATACCAATGTACTCATGTCACATAAAGATCCGAACTATCTTTCAGTTATGTTACACTCGGAGATGGACAAACTTTCAATCTGGTTTAAAGCACACAAGCATTCTCTAAAACGTAAAAAGACTAAATTTATGGTCTTTAAACCAAGACAAAGGCGTTCAATTTGTAATATTCAAATAAGTATATTAGATAATCAAAATACTGTTGAAGTAAAGGAGAAATTTTCTAGGAGTAATTTTGGATGAAAACCTAAATTGGAAGTCGGAAATATCACACGTTGCAAATAAAATTGCGAAGTCAATCGGTATAATATCTAGATGCAGCTTCTTTCTTCTTAAATCGTCTCTACTTATGCTCTACTATTCCTTAATAATCTATCCCTATTTTTACTACTGCAATATTGTTTGGGCTTCGACCTATAAAACCAATCTCCGCCGCCTTGTTATCCTGCAAAAGCGCATTATTAGAATTATTAATAAATCACATTTCAATTCTCATACAACCCCCATCTTTAAGGACCTCGGTATACTAAAATTTAATGATATCCATTTGCTTCAACTGGACCAATTTATGTATTCTTGCAGAAATTCATTCTTTTCAACAACCCTGAGATTAAAACGAAAAAGACCGCCGCCCGCAGTCATTACAGTCAGGGTCTTCAAACAATTTAATACAGAGAATTTCAAAGCAGACATGGAACAAACACCTTTCTACATTGCATCAGTGTTTGACGACATGGATGACATCCTCTGGGCGTGGAATCAATTGTTCAGCGGCGTTTGCGATTCACACGCTCCACTGAAAGAAATTAAAGTGCGAAGCGTATCGTCACCGTGGATCAATACCACTATCAGGTTGAAAATGAATCGCCGATTTAAGTTATTCAAGAGAGGTGTTGAAACTAAGGATCCAAATACATAACATCTGACCTTTGGAAAGCGAAGGCTGCATACTTCAGAGATCAGCTGAAAAAGGCGAAGACCACCTCGGCGTATTGGAATGTATTATCCAAAGCTACCAACCCCAAAGTAAGGAAGAAGATAGGCCCATTAAAGCGTGACGACAACAGCTTAGCGGTAAAAGACACGGAGAAGGCGAGCCTTATGAACTGTTTCTTCTCTACGATAGCTGAGAAATTAAATGCTGGGCAACTCCAAGCACCACAACCCTTGACTAGTCCATGCTCCAAACCTGTACCATGTATATCCGATATTAATCTATCTAGCCTTGATATTGACAGGAAAATAACATTATTGAAGAATAATAAAGCCACCGGACCGGATGGTATATCACCCAAATTATTGAAACTCGCAGGTACTGCTATTGTTGGCCCGCTGACCAGCCTTTTCATGCAAAGTATACGCGAATGTAGAGTCTACAATAATTGGAAAGTGGCCAGACTAACACCTGTATTCAAAAAAGATGATCCTACGGTAGTAAGTAATTATCGTCCCCTCTCCTTGCTAAGTGTACTCAGCAAGATTTTAGAATCATGTGTAGCGGACATGATTGCGAAACATGTTTTCTCGGAAAACGAAGCGCTCGTCACTGACAACCGATTGGCCTACCGAAAAGGAAGATCCACAGAGCTATTACTCATCCACCTGACTGAAACCTGGCGACGAGCAATCGATAACAAATTAGTTGTGGGCGCCGTATTCATAGACTTCCGGAAGGCGTTTGATTGCCTTTCACACTCAATTCTTCTTCACAAGCTAGAGCACAACTTTGGAATCACGGGAAACTTACTGGCATTGCTAAGAGATTATCTATCTGAACGGGAACAGTATTCTGTAATTAATGGTGTACCCTCTGAGAAATACCAAAGTTGCACACGGTATACCACAGGGCTCCGTACTCGGGCCCATACTCGTCGCCTTGTACACAAGCAATCTACCGAAAGCAGTAAAACACTGCAACGACGTTCCTGTATGCTGATGATACTACCATGTACTGTGTTGGTGAATCTGTAGACCAGGTCACAACAACGCTGAACAAAGCTCTAGAAGAACTCGCCCTCTGGTGCAAACATAACTCCCTGATACCACACCCCAAAAAGTGCGAGGGAATGATCCTTAAACGAAATCATTTTATCGGTCCCTTAGGCAGGTTAAAAATTAACCAGCATCTCATATTAATATTGTCCTCAAGTTCTAGGCTGTTAGGTGTAACCATTGACAACAAGCTTAAGTGGACAAAACACATATCAGAGCTCAAGAGAGGGTTCGTTAACAAGCTCAATCTAATCAAACGCAGCCGCTTTTTACCTAGGAATTCGCTTTTAGATCTATATTTTAAAGTCATTTTTCCCTCGGTTACATATGCGTTACCAATTTTGGGGTGTTACACAAATAACAATGAATTTAATTCTTTGGAATCCATACATTGTAAATCTGCTTGAGTTATATATAACCTCCCGCGCGACATGTCCTCTGAGGATGTAAGAAAAACAGCTAACTGGGACTCTTTATTCGACACTTATAAGGTCAAAATAGCCACCTTAATTTATAATATATACAACCGCATAACTCCATCATGCTTGGAACATATAATCCAAAGGAAAGAGTCTAAGGGTGTGTTCCTTTCGGTGAATCCAAAAACGGATTTTAGATCTAAGAACGGATTTCGCGTTCCTTTCGGCAAATCCAAATCCGGATTTTTGATCTGGTGAATCCTTTTTGAAAAAGGATTCATTGGATTTGAAATCCGAAGAATCCAAATCCAGATTAACGGATTAGTGATCTACGCTGTTCCATTCACAGTGGATCCGAAATTAGTCAGATGATCCAGCGGTATTTCCAGTTGAAGTATTCCCATAGAGGCCGTAGAGTTTCCTCGTTGCTGTCATTTGCCGCAAAACATCTGAAAACACTAGAAGATGGTTCCTGGTACATTAAAATATCCATATACTAACCATTTGTCTCTAAAGATTGCTTGAAATCAGAAATAAGTAAAAGTAACAAACGAACTGCAATCTAACTACAAACTCGCTTGTAGACGCGACAGGCACTCGATCGTGTTACATAAAAAAATTCAAGCTAGGGAACTGGATCAAACTGGCCGACATTCTTTAGAAAATTTTCAGTTTTAATGCGCTTCTTTCTTCGTCTGTTTTATGTTCCATCGTCGCTATTCGAACTGACGACCGCTAAATTCTGCACTGTATAATCGTATAATTTGTCAAACAGTAGAAAACACGTCATTTCTTGAGAGGCTGTTGTGCATATTGCACGCGTTGGCGAAAGGTTACCAAGGTTACAAATCCAATTTCGGATTTCACGTTCCTTTCGACCGCGAAATCTGGCAAATCTAGGATCCAAAATCCGTTTTTGGATTCGCCGAAAGGAACACACCCTAAGTATGACCTCCGTCATCAACCTCGTGTTAGCGTACAACGTTTTGAAACTTATTATATGAAAAACTCTATTTTTTACAGAGGATCCATTCATAGGCGTACGGGCCGGGGGGGCGAGGGGGGCTGCAGCCCCCCCAAATTTTGGGCACCTCAGATTTTTTGGGCAGCGAGAGAAAATTTGGGCAAAGCCAGTTTTTAAAGACGTCTCCATGTTTATTTAATTATTTTAAAGACCTGAATATTAACCTGAAGTCGGCGTAATAATCCAGTTACGTTACAGTGGTTGCCTAGCATGTGGTGACGGTACTTTACATATTTGCAGCATTTTTTTGTTGGGCACTATACTGCACTGCACTAGCTGGAATGGGCTATTTCCAGTCGTGAATTGATTAAAATAAACTTTCGAATAACTTTCTAGAATCATCTCTACTCGAAAAACAAAATATGGCAGATAGCATTTACCAATGGGTATGAAAATGAAGAAGTGGCTGACTAGTCTCAGTTTGAATTACGAGAAGAATTTTAATTCTTTTAAAAAATTTATCGAGAGGTTTAAAAAATTATTCGCTAATTTGTTAAAGTAGACCGAAATGTTTACAAAACCGCTAACAAGAGTGTCTCGATACATACTAATCAAATCCTTCTTTCGATTCTAGCAACCAAGCAGAGCTATCTCCACGATCTTTTACACATGTTTTTAAAAAGATTAAAACTACTATGAGGTGAAATTGCAGGTCTAAAGCGCTTCGTTTTCTACAGATAACAGCCAAAAATCAAGATTTTCCTGTTCTTACCGTATTTCTAATACAGTAAAAACTCGCAACTAAGAACCTACATTTTTAGCAGTTAGCCTAAACGGGTTCTTATATAAATGGTAGTTAACAGAATTTTAGGCTATTTAGGTTCTTAAAATGGGTTCTTAATCCTGGAGAAAAAACAATGCATAATGGTATGCTGAGGCTACATATTGCTTAGTATGCTTTGTAAGTCTACATACCTTGCACTCATTTTTCCTTAAAAAACATTTTTACGACAATGGCGATCTGCTTTTTTTGCTTCAAATATGATTCTTGCAATACAGCTGTAATGTACTAGTATGATTTTAGAAATAAGAACCTGTTTTAAATTTCTAAGGCTAAATAGGTTCTTGTTTATAGGGGGTATAAATGACCAATTTTAGGCTAACAGGTTCTTAATTTTTACGTTCTTAGTTGCGGGTTTTTACTGTAATAAAAACTTCATTCCAAAATATCTCGATAACGCTCTTAAGGTTTTGCTTAAACTTCACGAACATCGAGGCGACCGTATTGGAGAAAAAAGCTCCTGTGAACGATTTTGTAAGGTTCCCGTGCTGGGAATCATTGCTGACGTAAAATAGGTAATGAGCGGGGGGAGTCATTTCGTTGCTATGACAACTCCGATGTCATTGCAACCCTGGTGATGACAAATTTTCATTTTAATACAACTGTGGTCGCAATTTTTCCAAATGTTTGTTTATGGCGACGTTTGTTTATCGAGCCACCTTCATATTCCAGGAGGGTCTACGTTGTTGCCATATGGCCCTCATTTCTTTACGATTCTTTCGGAAAAATTTGGGCAACTTGCGAGATTTTTTTGGGCAAATGGTTTACCGCCCCCCCTGGCAAAAAGTTTCCCGTACGCCTATGGATCCATTGTTTGGAATCTTTTAGAACCATCCGCTGTCAGCGCCAGGGACTATACCAAAAGGGCAAAAAAGTCTCCCGCCCTCAGAAACTTGAACTTTAATGAAAAGTCAGAGCAAATGGGTCGTCCCCAAATTGACAGTGATTTCGTCTTTTATTGATTCTATTCATATCTTTTATTGTACATATTTCACCTTTTATTGATCGCATGACTTCGTTCAATTTTAATAATTTTTAGCATTTTATTTTTATTAACATTTTTTACACGGCCCTATAAGCTATATTAGCTTTAAACCCACATTGTTTAAATGAAAGATGTTGTTGTTGTTGTTGTTGTTTAACCTCCAGGGTTTAATAACAATTTCTCCCAAAGCAATCAAGGCACTCTTACAACACAAGAAGTTCCCAGGCCTACCGCCTACCGTATTGTCGTACAAACACTAAGAAGATCTCGCCCTTTTCAAGGGCCTAAGTTTTTTAATTCACTTAACAACGAAGTCATCAACTCTCAATCCCTTTCCGATTTTACGAAAAACTGAAGATTTATAAATTATTGAGTAAATATGAAAACAGTTCATAAATCTTTCCATCTTCGACTTTTAGCCATTTTTTCTTTAATTGATATTAAACAGCTTTAATCCGTAGTTCGAGGGGACCTAACCTCTCATCAACTCCTATAGTTTCTGTTAGGTCTCCTCGCCACTTCTTTTCTTCTCTTTTTTTCTTTATTTTTTGTAATTATTGTGTGGCAAATAAAAAAAAAATCAAATAAATAAAACAAAAAAACATTGATTCGAGTGTGTAAAAAGTCAGCTAGAGTAAATCACATCGCAATAATTCACGCTGATGTACCACCATGAAGTCTTTTCTTACCTTCAAAATCGTCAAGAGAAAGATTTTCTTATATTTTCAAAAAATTCTTACTCAAAGACTTTGGCAAAACACCCAGTTCACGACAGCGATTTCGTTTTGCTTTATACTCTCCGCCTAGCGCGGTGAATATAACGTCATACTCCGAGATAGCGAACCAATCAGATTGCTCGAATCACCAAGATCATTGAGTGTGCATATATTAAATACACGTTATAATATACAGACTATTTTCAAGAGTAATGAACACATGTTATTGTATTTCAGATTGTTATGTAAGGGAATCCAAGACAGTCTGGATTCTGGATCATGCTGTGGATTTCGGAGTCCAAGCTCTAGCGATAACATTATTAAAAGAACTGACCAAACCTCCACAAGCAAAAATGTCCAGGATCCAGATTCCGGATTAGCTTTACGTGGGTGAAAATAACAAAAGACTTAATTCTCAAACTGCCTCGATGCAATGTTTTCGGCGTTTCACTTGAGAAAAAAAAGTGGAAATTTGAAAGAATTAAAGTAATAGCGGCACATTACCCGTCATCAAACTGTAGCTCATGTGTAATCTATTTTGAACAGCAAATAGAGGAGATCAGGAGGGACAATCATTTCAGATTAAGGCTACGCATCAAAGTGTCTCTTCTCTATTCTCCGCGCGGCTTTGCAACTCCTCTGTCTCTGATGATCTCTCGAGCTGCCAGGTTACATAGCTTATTTGGTGGCAGTCCTCATTCGAAAGGAGAAAAGCTAATCGAGGATTTTTTGAAAAGGAAGGGGATTTATGAAAACTTACTTGAGAATCTACGAAGGTTGTGTTACTGGTACTGGAATCTAATGTTCCATCTGGTAAAAGAAATCTACCGTCCCCTCCTTCAATAGATAATCCAAGAAGTTTAGTTGGGGTATGGCGTCCTAATGTCATGGACAATTCTGCAGTCTTGATTTGAGTCACTTCTTCATCTGCAACTTTCATTGTTAACACGGCATCTGCAATAATGTTGATGATCCCGATGGAATCCTTCACAAGACTTTTTCCCTAAAGAAGGAAGTGCCCGTTTATCAATTACTATTTCATTTTTAGAACGTTCGGGCCCGATTCACCCACTCATGTACAGAAATGCGCCCAACGGCAAAAATGGCGAAAAGTCGCCAAGTTTGGCAAATAAGTTATAACAAAGCTAAGGGTTCCCATTAAGAGTTGCGATTTTGGTGAAAGTGACATATTCGGCGAAAATGGCGAATTTGCAATTGTCCACGAATATGGCGAACATTCGCCAAATTCGTAACAAAATTTTCAATGAGATGGCAAAGAGGCCCTTTGAAAGTGGTGATTTTGACGAAAATGGTGATGTTGACCAAAATAGAGAAAAATCCCCAAGGTCTTACCTGCAAGTCAAATGAGGAGGCAAAGAGTCCCCCCAAAAAAGTGGCGAATATTTCGAGAAATCGCAAAGGCGATTTTGAAGGAGATGGCAAATTTGCCGAAAATGGCTAAAATTCGCTAAAGGCTTATATAGAAGTAACGAAATTGACGAATTTAGCGAAAATGGCAAAAGGGTGAATCTGTCCAAAAAATTGCCTGAGGGTTGGTGAAAGTTTAAATGAGATCACAAGGGGCAATCCTCGTAAAGTCGCGAAGTTAACAAAAATGGAAAATCTCACGAAAATGGGAATTTGGCCTCAATTTTCCGTGAGGTTGCCAAATATTCAAATTAGATCACCATTTTCGCCATTTTCGCCAACTTCACCAAAATCGCTCTTGTGGCGGCCGTTCAAGAACATGATAATTTTGAACCAAATTTTTCTGACATCTATAGGTTCCCATTTTCCTTTAGGTATGGGTTCCCACTACTCGCGCGCTTTGCACGCACGGACGCCCAAACCTTAGCCAAACCTCCATCCAGGGGACATCTCTATTCAGGTTACACTTGCCTTGGTCCCAATGGTGTCCCCTGAATAGAGGTTCCACTGTACTTGTTTTTAAGTTTACCTTAGGTTACGTTTACGACAACTAACCATATGGTGGGATCTCAGTTCCACTTCCTTTATTTTCTCTACAACAACACTTCCCTAATGTACAGTTAACTCCACACCTTCTCCAGCAACGTAACTATGAACTAACATCAGTACACTCCCTTACGAAACTAGCCTGAGTATCAGGCCTTCCTAAGGGACTAGGGGAGAGGAGATTTTAGATGAGGGAGGCGGGAGGGGGAGAAGAGAAAGGAAGGCCTGACACAAAACCATTCAGCAAATCGTGTGACACATCCAAAATCTGGTTGTGGCAGTGATTGGATAACACACAATACCCCCTGACGACACCGACCGCAAGTAAATACTAGCAGAGCGATCGGCGAAACCCGAGCAAGAATGTGTTTTCAAGGCCTCGTAGTTTAACGGAAAGATGTACTCGGAGTATGGAAAAGCCTCATATACCAGCTTCTGCCGAAACTATGTCCGAGTATTGGTTTCACAAGACCGGGACAAAGAAGACCATATCAGTGTTTCAGATATCTAAGTTCTGATTTACAACATCCTGCCGTTAAAAGGGTATTGTTACTGTAAATGAAAACAGAGCGAGGTAGCCATGTATTGAGATAGCCGACAGCACCAAGGCTTTTAAAAAGATTGACTTTGCTTGTGGCGGTTACGATAGCGTACGTGATTGGAATTCGTTTACTTCCTCTTCCAAAATTTTCTCACTTTTGAAATGTCTTAAGCTCAAGCGGGCGGCATCATATTTCGCCAACGGGATTGACCTTTGCTATAGGCTCTCACTTCTTATTGAACTGGTAACAGCTTTCACGAGCTCTCTGTGTAGTGGTGGAATTTGCTGCTGCTTGATAATTTTTAGGCATATAGGTGTTTCACCATCGCACCTTCCTATTTATTCTTGCAGCTCCTTTCAACCACCCGAGAATACGAGGAATAAAATCGGCTTTTTAGCTGCCAGACAAGCGCCTGATGTAACTCTGTAAACAAAAGCAATTCACAATTTTCCGGGCACACATTTATTTACAGAGAGTTGGCGATCTTACGCTAGCACAATTCCTAAAACATGATATAATTCCTCAAAAACGGCAGGTTTTACATTACAAGTATTCGAAAACTCCTCATTGGAGGTTTCAGAAAAAAGCGAAATCGTAGCAACACAAGCACCGGAGCTCGGCCAGACCGTAAGGTGAGATTTATTTTAGGCGAGCTTTTTGACACGTGAAGCTGACAACCCAATGGCCGGAAGTGATTTTGATTGGATGGTATCGAATCACGCTGTGTGGGGGTGGAAGGCTCCAGTAAAAGCATCCGTGTCAGGCGTTTCTCTCCTTCAGCTCTTTCCCCTTTTCGCTTCCATCCTTCCCCTTTCCTCCACCGAGGATAATTAATGTACAAGATCGCAACATAAACTAAAAATACGTATCTCGCAATAACTCTCGCTAAACTCGGTTTTTTAGTCGCGCCACTCAAGTTAAGCCCTGTCGGGCGAGGTTAGGAACCGGATGGGTAGCTCTGCGAATATCGTCGTGAAGGTCCTTACTGTGTTCTTTCTTTAGTCTTCTTCTTCTTTTTTGCGTATTTTGTGGTGTTATCTTTAAAAGTGTATTGAAAAGCATACTTAGCATTATTTCGGCCGCTGGATTTAGAAAAAAAAAAGCACAAACACGGCAGTACAGTTCGCGTGAAAATTATTATAAGCTTACTTCGGGTGGTAGTAGTGCAGAACTGAAATTTTGATCTATCGGCGTGGAACTTAACCGGCAATCTAATAAATTTGTTTTTTCCACGGTGTATAACGAATTCCAATCTAGATTCCAGGAGAAAAAGACAAGGTTTCCAGGATAAAAAGCCAAACTGAAACGCACTTTGGAGAAACATAATTATGGTGCGATTGACATATCCGAAGCAACTCGTCTGCGCAGTGAGACGCCCTGAAAATTGCTCTTGTATCTCGATTTTAGCTCAAATTTTGAAGCTTCTAGCCCAAATTGATTCAATGTTTTCTGTGAAATACTTTTGCAGTCAATATTTCTAGCCAGAATAATAAATAAGAACAAGTATCTCTAAGAAAACTTGTACCTTTAGCTCGTGCATAACTTACAGCTATTTTTTAAATCTGTTACCTTGGGTCGCAGTGGCGAAAAAAAGCAACTTTGGAACGTTCCTGAGCGTCGCGAATCCTTTACTTCGCGCTCCGCCGAAGTAATAATAAATCATTAAATTACAACAGATGAGTGGTAAAAAACTTGAGCAAGACAGCGATCTTAGAAGAACAAACTTTCAATCATAGGCTCCTGATTATGTGTGTATAACAGCCACAGGATACCAGGCAAGCATTAACACCATTATTGCATTTGCTGGGGAATTGCATTGAGATTTCCCACGTGTCTATCTGCGCCAGCTAGTAATGGACTACGGAAATAAATACCTGTTCTTGAGGACTGGACCCAAGTTTTCCTGATGCGACCATTGATGCACTCTTCAGTACGTTGTTGAGGCATGAGCCTAAGTTTTCTGCTGACGGGGTGATCAGCGGTATGTTGTCCGTTTGTTTCTGCTGGGCAGCATTCCTGAGCAGTGAAGCCATGGAGTCAATAGCAGGTAGGGCAAATTTCTGACAAAAGCGAACGTTCAGAGAAAGAAATGTCACTGCGAGTTTTCTAACGGACTGCTAACAAATTACCGCTTCCACGATGTTGCGAATTGTTGTGAATTCTTCACCTGGAAAAGCACCCTGCGAGCAGAGCGTTTCTTTTGCTTGTTTGATTTTGTTATACTCAAGAAAGACTCTGCAAAAATCGATTCATTCTCCACCCCTGCAGTGCCCTTCTTTCTAGCGCATGACAACGTCACGGTGTCAAAAGAGTGAGGTCTGGGGCCAACAATGAAATCGAGTAAGAACTTTGTTGAAGATGTCTTGCATGTTGCTAGGGTACAGTTCCCACGCCCAATAGACGAGCGTCTAGTACAGCGGGCTCATTTATGATCATCGTTATATCAATATAAAAATGCTCGTGGTTGAAAAACCAGTTTGACGAGAGAAGATAAGATTGACCAGTTCAAAAGTTTGGGCTACGATGACTTCAAAGGCTTAATACGATTCAGCCAGAGCCTCTTTTTCTCCTTCTCGATTAAGGAGAAGACAAAAGGAAGCTTTGCTCATAGATTGCTGGAAAAGTTGAGAACAACACAATAAAAATTCAGGGAGAAACCGAATAAGGAATCGTAGCCATTAAGCACTTATTACTTTTGAACATGAAGCTGATGGCAGAAACAGCGCGAAGGAGAAGGGAGTGGCGCCTGGAATTCAAACGTTTTATACTGTGCATGATGTGACGAAATAAATAGCAAAAGTTATAAAAACATACTTTGACCTGCCCTGTTTTAGCAGGGCGATTATGGCGACTTCATGGGTAAATTATACCTCACCAGAGATTTTACAGATGTTGTTTCAGTGTCCTGAATGGCTGAGCCAATCACAGAAGAGGACTGCAGCAGGTCTGGCAGACTCTTAACTTGCAATGCGGCAATTTTGCCCACAATCAGTTCCTGAATCTATGATAAGTAACAAAACTGATATCACTTTAACACGAATCAATCGACCCTTACACGGTGTTTTTAAGTTCAGATAAAAACCAGTAAGCGAATGTCCATTGACACTGCTGGAAAGAGCGCCGTAAATGAAATTAATAATCTTACCAAGTTTAAAGGCGTTGGAAGCTTAACTGATTGATTTCACGGCGTTCTTCCAAGCCGGGATGACAAATTTCCACTAACTGGCCCCAGTAAAAAGTTTAAAAAACCGTGTGAGGGTATATTTGCACTAAACTACTTGGCAACATCGTGGCTGGATGAATAATTGCTTTAGATTGAGTTAGCATTAACTGTAGTCCTTTTCTCGAGACTCCGTTAATTTCTTTTATAGGGTGTTTCAATCCAAAGAGGCTCTTAAAGGCCACATGAATTTCAGTCAAAGAGGACATAAATTACTACTGGAAAGTTTCTAAACGTCGGTTCCGGTATTTTTCAAATCAGAATTGAGCGGATCCTTATAACATTATTTTTAAAAACTATTACCTTCGTTTTTTCCTCTGTACTGAGGGAAGAATCCTGCGAAATCGCTTCTAGAATTGTATTTGATATTTGTGCTGCCTTGTTCAGATCACCATCTTCTATCACTTGATTTAAAAAGCTATCATTAGCTGTCAAGACACTGGTAAAGTTCGCTGGGCTCAAGTGTTGCGATGGTTCAACCTGCGACAACAACAAACGAATCACGTTGCCTTAGCCTGTTGAAATGTTTCTAGTTGCCTGGGAAACATGATGAGGAGAAGGCGTGACTAAGTAAAAGCAAACAGGCAAAAGGGGGGGGGGGGGGGGCAAGGCAATGGAAGGGGAGGGAGAGCCTCCTGATTTAATTCCCTTCCCTACACCACGCAGTTTCGGCTGTGCTCGAAGCGCCTAGTCACGGTCCAAAATCACTTTCCAGCTCACACGACTTTGCTGAGTAATTAGGAAGAAGGGGAGAACTTTCGCGAAGAACTTGTTCTTATTTCTTTCCATGGCCCACAAATGACTTAACATTTTGCTTTGTCTCAGTTTTACTCCCAGTGTCTATCATCGATATTAAAAAAATACAGTATGACAGACGGTCGGATCGACACTTTTAAGGGAATCCGGATTCCATGATTTTTGTTTTCCTTAACGAATCCGGAATCCTTAGCCTGGGACCAGGCTCCCCTGAAGAGAAAAGTTGACAAAGGAGTGAAACGGCACCAAAAATTGGCGAGCGAAGCGAGCAGGGCGGAATACAGCTTAAGAAACCCGAAATTCCATCAACGATTGAAGTCCGATTCCAATACCCATTAACAAAGAATCTGAAATCCGGTACCTGGAATCTGGAATCCGGAATCCATAGCGTGTAATCCAGAATACAAGACACTCTTGGATTACCTTACATGGGGTGAGTCAGACGCAAATGCGCAAGCTATAATAATAAGTTATAATGATGTAACTAGACCACTAGACCTTTCTATGACTCCTGGGGTGATGTGGTTGTGGGCTCCTTTAAAATACCGCTGACTTAACCGTGAACGGTGTGCAGTGTGATTATTAGCGGTTCCCAGGTAGATTTTGACTGGTACTTGATCTTTATTAGGAAATAAACAGGATCAAGTTGTTTGAAAATCAATTAGGTCAGACTTAGGGTTTGTTAACATGACAACTTAAATGGTTTTGTTCAGGATTAGGGTTAACGAGACTGTGAACAACTCGACCTAGGACTTAACTGTCTAAGGATTCATGGCGAAACAAGCTATGAACTCACCCGGACAGAAATATTAACAGTCGGTGCTGACGCTCCATAACTGTTAGTTACAGTAGCAAGAATCTCGACTTTGAAGTTATGTGATCGGTTTCCAGGGGGTAGCCATGAAATAACGGTGTTATTTACTCCGTAGTATACCATACTGTACAGACCGTTGTCCAGTCGATATTGAAACTGATACGTCAGAGGGGTAGCGTCACTGACCCAGTCGCTGCAGCGCAGGTTGAAATCAGTCTCAAACGAGATGCCGCTGGACGGAATGATCACGCACCTTCCTCCTGAAGGGGGCGTAGCGGTAACAATGTTATAAGCACTTAATCCTTCAATACCGTCCTTAGTTCTGACAAACAACACCAATCGATAGTTCTTTCTCCCATCCAACGAGTTTTCTTTTATGGCAATATCACTTGAGTTTAGCGGCGTAGTTGTAATGCTTTGCAATATATTCACCTTTCGCCATATTGGATCAGTATTTGAGGCGGACTTGTTCCGTTCATAGAGCGTCCATTCGTAGGAGACTATTTTGGAGCACTGAGAACCTTGGCACTGTGACTTGATACTCAAACTAACTGACGGACTTGTTTGAGCTCCACAATTTAAAAGACAGCTAAATATAAAAAAGAAATGCATGAATTGTAGGGCATGTTAATAATCTTTGTCACAATAGTTTACACTTGTGAGTTGGTATTGCGTTGATGCAACAGTGGGTGTGATAGACTATCTCGAGACTAGATGGACTCCATAAAAAATAGTGCGAATAGTGAGATTTCCGGACTAAGTTTTTATTCTTATTTCTGAATTGTTATTACAATGTGAGACTAGCTTTCGCCCCAGATTTTACTGTAGTTTCCCTTAGTTAGATTAAAATATCCACGGAGAGGAGCGAGTGAATGCTCGGAACGTCGCGCTCTTCTTCTCGCCACCCACTGAATATGCCCTGGAGTGTCCGAGAAAAAGAGGCTGAACCACGCATTCCTTGGCAATAAATGTTACAAACCTTCCCTCAACTTACATTTGCATACATATGCATACCGTTTTCTGCACCAATTTTATCACTCACATTTACTGCGTCAAGTAGGACATTTCTACTGCCCGGCTTATTGATAATCAGTGACAGCTAGAGATACGGGCACAACAAAAAAATTAAGGTTGAGAATTACTGTCTAAAGTGTACCTTTGCGAAACTATAGGTGGTTGTCCATTCTGCAATCTAATAACTTGAAACACACTTGATGTTCGATAGTCTTTGGTGACGACTAACTTTGCAATGTAGGTCTGATTCAGCAAGAGGGGTGTCTTGGCGAAGATGACGACCGGTCCGAAACCTTTATCCGCGGAATATTGAACGGATATACCACTTAGGCTAGGCAGCGGAAATGAATAATTGTTTCCTTTGATCTGGCCGAAATGCCAGGTAAAGTTCATTCCTGAATTATTTCTAGTTCCTAAATCAGGATCATAAGAAAGCGAGGCGTTCATGGTGATGTTTTCGTGAAGTCCTCGGATAACTTCGGCACCACCTTCAATAAACGCGACCAGTTCTGTTGAATTTATTAATTAACAGAATTTATTAACAGAATCTAGCTTTACCTCAAGATAGTCATAAATAAAAAAATACTTAAATAGTAAAGTGTGTAATAAAATCTAGAAGTTGGTTAACATGTAAATAATAGGGAGTTTAAGATACGGCGACTACGGACTACGACTACTGTTAAACATGCTACTGTGCATGATCTAAACCACGTGACTGTTCATTTTTCCCGCGTAGTCCTGCGGCTACAGTGAGTTGTTGAGCTGTTTCGTGTAGTCGCGACTACGGAGAACATTTTGCTCGTATTTTGCCGTGTCGGTAATTCAATAATCTCGTCTTTCCGTAAAAAAGTTTTCAATTCACCTGCTTTAAGTGAGGGGGAAGCGAAATATGTAAGTTGTGTATAATTTCTGCTCAGATTTACGCTTTTAATCCACCGTTGTGACTACATTTTTATCTAGCTAAGCTCATATTTAAATAAGCTTAGCTTTTTATACGCAGAATTCAGATTGACGGCCGAGGAGAAGAGAAATCGTACAGGTAATTTACTTTCTCTTCGCACTTGAAAAGTTTCAATGTTTGATCGAACTGATTAGTGTGTCTTTCTACTTGTGTAACTTTGTTTATGCGACTTTTTGTATCGCATTTGTTGAATGAAAATGATGTAAACATCTTCGAGACAATCGAAACTCGCCATTTCAATACTTCAAACTACATCAGATCAGTAGTCGGAGAAGTCCATCTTCTAAATCCAATAAATGAGCTATTACTATTTCTGTCTATTTCTTTAATATTTGACATAAGTATTCATGGGCGAAAAAAATAAAACCTGTTTAACGAAAACTTTGTTTACCAATTTCACCCGACGTAATTGCTTCCTTCAATTAGTATGTGTAATCAAATGGTGACGAGTGAAATTAGGGAATAATTTCACGCGCGATTTGTCCAAATCCTTATAATTTCCCGAGCCTTTAGGCTCGGGAAATTATAAGGATTTGGACAAAACGCAAGTGAAATTATTCCCTAATTTCACGAGTATACTATTTGATTACCTGTTAATATCATGGGTGACGAATTACGTTAGCGATCTTGGATTTTTGACATGTTTATACTGGATCGTATCGATCGAGAACTCCTGCACTCTCTCGAACGTTTAGAGCTTAAATTTGGCTTAAGTTCAGAGTTTTTCGACAAAATACCTGTTAGAATCCTTCTTGATGTGCTCCGTCGTGTGTTCAGGTTTTCTAAAGCTTCTTTTTGTGCCCTGACATCTTCCTTGATTACATTTTAAACTTCGTCGCCATCTTGACACTGAGACATACGGAAGGTTTCCATGGCAATTTTGTAATTTCACATGTGAAATTACAAACTAACGCTGAAATTTCGCGCCAAAATTAAGGAGTAATTCGTCACCTGTGATATTAAAGGAAGAATCTGTTCATTGTTCTAGAGATAAGATCACACGCAAAACTGACTTGCATTTTTGTGAACTGTGATGAAAACTAGAAAATCTTTGCGTGTTGTTTCCCTCTCCGCCTCTTCTCTCGTAGTTTACCGTCTGTAGTGCAATCGTAACTCATCCCGGTGCTACAAACAAAGGACAACGCTCGCCCACAGTAGTTCGTAGTCCGTAGTCTATCTTAAACTCCCTAACGTTCAATGACTGACCGCTACTGCCTTTAGAAAGACTTAAATGAAAAAGAAGGTGATGGGTCGCGAATTGTTGGGGAACCTAGTGGCAAATTTGTAGGTAAATTATTTGTTTCTACATTAAAAGAGGTATCAATGTAGAAGTTTCGTTCATTCTTACGTAATGTTCAATTTCCGACCGCTAATGCGCTACTCTCTTTAGACAGACTTACCTGAAGAAGAACTTGATGGGACGATAGTTGAGGAACCTAGTAGGAAATTTGTATATAAATTATTTCAATGTCTCTACCGTAGTTAAAAGAGGTATCAGTTATATTTACAAGTTTCCTTCATTCTTACGTAATGTTCAGTAACTGACCACTAATCCGCTACTCTCTTTAGACAGACTTACCTGATGAAGAACTTGATGGGACGATAGTTGAGGAACCTAGTGGGAAATTTAAACGTAAATCATTTGTCTTTACATTAAAAGAGGTATCAATTTAGAAGCTTCCTTCATTGTTACGTAATGTTCAATAGCTGACCGCTACTCCGCTACTGTCTTTAGACAGACTTACTTGATGAAGAACTCCAGTAGGTGCTGTTTCCTCTTCTGGGATGAGTTTAAAAATCGTTGCTTTTTAGCTTGAGGCTTCGTGTATCAATTATATTTAGAAGTTTCCTGCATTCTTACGTAATGTTCAATAACTGACGGCTAATCGGCTACTCTCTTTAGACGGACTTACCTGATGAAGAACTTGATAGGACGATTGTTGAGAAACTAGTGGGAAATTTGAAGGTAAATTATTTGTTTCTTCATTAAAAGAGGTATCAATTTAGAAGTTTCCTTCATTTTTACGCAATGTTCAATAACTGACCGCTACTCCGCTACAGACTACAGACAGACTTACCTGATGAAGAACTTGATGGCACGATTGTTGAGGAACCTACTAGAAAATTTGTATATACATAGCCTGCAGTGCAGTGCAAGTGCCATGTTGAAACTCTTGAAGATAGGAGGAAATGGGGTGAGTCAAGGGGAGGGGAGAAGGGGCGGGGAGAAAGAAGAGAAAACGCCTGCCCGAAAACACTGTGAAAATGAGAAACACCCCCTAATTAGACGCGCGTGACCGCTCTTCCGGAAATGAGTAGCCGACAATAACAAAACAACCAACAGTCGCTCCAGCCTAAAGACTCGCATTGTCTTAGAAAAACAAGCTGGAGTTTATCATTGTTTTTATCTTGACTGAGTCACAATGCAGTTCTTCACAGCTGATGAAGCTTCAGTTTAAGCTGCAATTCATTCTTCTAAATTCATCTCTGTAAATCGCTATCCGTGAGAGTTTAACATCCTGCAAACAATTTAAAAAACTAACGAGTTGGGCCCAGCGTGATACAACATTGCAGGAAAACATCACATTCTCACACTAGAAAGAAAATCGCTTCGTTATTCAGATCCTGAGGCACTTTGAGAAAAAAATAAAGAACCTAACAGCCTTATTTAGCGACAAAAAGAGCTTTACGCTTCAAAAGAGGTCAAAGAAAACGCTCTTGCATCAGAGGGCAAATCATGAAGACCAGAAATTCAAAAACTAGAGAAAATCAATAAGCGTGTCATGACCTCTCACTGTGAAACAAGCGGCTAAAATCACATTTGCTTAGTCAAAGCATAGAACCCTCTAGAGCATAATCTACTCTCCAGAAAAAAAAACGTATTGGAACAAGCAGCATTTTAGCATGAGGTAAAAGTGGTGTAGGTTTTAGTACTGCGAGCAAATCTTGTCCTGATGACCAGTGTAATCGCTTTGACTTCCTCATTGCGTAATACACGCGACATTCCCAGCCCCTTCAATTCCAAAAGACTGACGGAAACGGAAAAACAATACAGACTTACAGTTAATTGACAGGCATCAGTCTACTTCCCTATGCCGCACCAATCAGGAGCTCCGTTTGCCAGCGTACGGAGTTTCCCAAAAGAACAATGATATCAGGCAGGCGTATTTTTTTCCTCCCCTCCCCCTGCCCCCTCTCCTTTTTTCGCCCTCACACCTACGCTAAGGGTTACTATTTCTACTCTCCCCAATCTTCCTCTGTCATAAAATCCAAGATGGCTGCTTCATAGTAGCGATCCGATTAACAAACTTGGGCCCACCCAAAATACGCTTGCACTGCAGGCTAGTATATACATTATTTCAGTGTTTCTTCATTAAAAAAGGTATGAATTTAGAAGTTTCTTTCATTCTTAATACTGGTTACCTCAGATCGCTCATTATGAACTAATAATAGCGTTTCACTGAACTACTCTACTTCATATGAAACAACACTTATAAAAATGGTATCTAGTAACTTCGTCAATTAAAGGAGCTTCCACAGAAGGCGACGTGTCTAACTCCTCAAACTCACCTGATGAAAGAAGTGACACGCTTGCACTGACTGACGGTGAAGTGCTTGGCGAAACCGATGCACTGGCACTCAGTGATAGCGATAAACTTGGCGACGCACTAGGCCTGATTGAGGACACCACTGGTAAAAGCATATCTCCTACTGGAAAATAAAACTTCTATAATTTGTAAATTTATAGACTTTTTATAAAGGTGCAAATCTTCCCCTCTTTCTCACCGGAAAAACAAAATGTCTGTAAAATCATTTTTGCGGACATTTCATGGAGGTCTTTTAAATATTATATATATATATATATATATATATATATATTTATACCGAGAATGGTTATGAAAAGTCTGTAATTTTACCTGCGGAATAAAGTAAGAAGACTGAGAAATTTATAGACTCACCAAAAAAGTCTATAGAATCTTTGTTAGATTTTACACTTATAGAGATTGTCTTTAGTTATTTCATCTCCGTAAACTGTAAAATGGTATAAGCCGGGGATTGTAAAATCTCCGTAAAATTCTGTCGCTTCTTGTAAAATCTCTTTTATTTGACTGAAGAAAAAGAAAGTTGTTGTCTTGTATTCCCGTCCTCGAGAAGACACGAATTTAGGTATTTTCAGGTCGTAGTCGTGTCTTGTGTAGTTAAATAGAAAAAAAAAACATAATTTTATATTTGCATTGCACATGAATATTGCTTTACTCAGAGTGCAAAGAAAGTTGTTTGATAGCCTGGGGATAGAGTATTTTGTTATTGGGTTATTGAATTCTGTTCTAAACTTGGCAAACAGGCAGTAAAGCACTTGGGAGAATTCGAATTACAATCAGTCCTGCTCATCCAAAAAAATATCAGGCTACTTTAGAATGCCTCTTGAACTAGTTACAGCTAGCTACAGCATGACCAAAAATGGCAAGCTGTAAAAAAAACTCTGTACCGTTTACTGCCAGTTAAATTGACTACTCCGTCTTAAGACGTCACTTTTTCATGTTGTTCA